GGGGAAGCCCCCGCGCAGCCCCTGCTCGGCCGGCCGGTACGGCTGCGGGGGGATCCGCACCACCCCGTCCTCCTCGCACGGCTTCTGCCCTACGAGCTCGATTCGCGCTACCTGACGGGCAGCAGGGAGGTGAGTAAGAGCAGCCTGGACGAGTGCTCGGACTCCACGAGCTACATCAGCAGCGCCGCCTCCACGTGCTCCGACAGGACCCCCTCTCCCGCCCACCTGGGCTGCGCGGCCGGGGACAGGCACAGGAAGAAGGCCGGGCAGAATGCGCTGCGCTTCATCCGCCAGTACCCCTTCGCCCACCCCGCCATCTACTCCCTGCTCAGTGGGAGGACCCTGGTCGTGCTGGGGGAGGACGAGGCCTTGGTCAAGAGGCTCGTGACGGCGCTCTCCATCTTCGTGCCCAGCTGCGGCGCGTACGCCAAGCCCGTGAAGCACTGGGTCACCTCTGCCCTGCACTTGGTGGATTTCCAGAAGTGGAAGTTGGTTGGACTCCAGAGGTAAAATCAAGGATCTGTTTGCTATAGTAGGGTTGAGGTGTGTGGTAAGAACTTCCATCTCAGAGGGTAGGGGTTGTGTATGGGATCTTAATTGTCAGCATAGCTGACACAGATTTCTGCTGGTGGGATTTATTTTGGAAAAGGAGTCTTGTCTCCTCGTATCCAGCCTCACGTGAGAGTTAATGTTTGTAACATCTGCTGGGCATTTGCTGCCTGCCTCAGGTGAGTTACTTGCCCAGGAGATTTCTGCCTGGCAAAGCAGAGAACAAACACCTGAGTCCTGCTGGGTTCCTGAATGATCTGATAGGAGTGTTCCTGGAGTCCCTTGTGTGCTCTGCTTTGCCATCTCCTACTGGAACTCTTCTCACATTTCTAGCTGGAATTTTAGGGTAAATGGTGCTGTGCTGGAGGGGAGGGTTTTTTCTTGTGGAGCCCATTGAGCAGGTGATGAGATCTGTAGGTCAGAATTGGAGTGCAGCACCTTGGTCTGTGCTGGTGAGGAAGAAAGGCCCCTGGAAGTGTGCAGGAGCAGTGTTGGAATTGTAGGAAACCTCTGCTGAGAGTGAGAACTGTCCCAAAAACAAGTGCCCCTTCCCAACACCCAGAACTGTGGCTTCACAGCTCATATTAGCAAAGAGTGTTTGCTCAGCCCAAGGGCCCTGCCCTTGTTGACATTATGAGAAGGATTTTTTGGTGTGTTCCAGGATGTGTTCTGTGCTTTGGGTGCAGGTATGGCAGGGGATGGCCATTGCTGTCACCAGTGTGGAAAACATGAGTCAGAGTGTCAGGCAGTGCTCAGAGCTGGAACAGCTCCTGCAGGAGTGTTTATAAACAGCAGGAAAATTAAAACACAGAAACCTCCTTTCTTAGATGCAGGGTATTGTATTTCTGGGAGATGTGGATGGTGAAATTATCCAAAACTCTGAGTTTGCTCTCATTTCTGTACTCGTGAGGCAGGATGACAGCTCTGCCAACAGCTGCTTGCAAGCTCTCTGTCAGTGAGGTTTTTAAAAACCCCAAGTGTTTACTCTTTGCTCAATGTTTGTGGTTTGATGCAATTTTTATAAACAGAAATCTTTATTTAAGAACTGCCTGTAACATGTGTCAGTCATTTCAGCTCTCCTCTGTGGAATGTTAATTAAATGTTCAGTTTAATGTGGGTGCTCTCCACAAACCATTTGTAGGAATGGCTCTGGGAAGGAATTTAGAGGCTGAACTATTTATTCCAGTAAGGATCCTGTGTCTCCTAAGGCAAGGTGCTGCCTGGGCACACGGGCAGCCCCTCCACCAGTTGGGGCTCCCAGTTTGAGGCTGGGTGCCATATCTGAGCCCAGCAGCTGTCACCACAAAGAATGGAGGAGATGAAGGGTTTGCTGCGTAGGCTTGTGATTTGCATTTCAGTAACAGTAGGTTAAGCTTGGTGGGTAATTGTATGGTTGTGAGCATGCTGTGGGTTTGCACCTGAGTGACAAATAGCCAGGCCAGGCTCAGACACGGAATGTTGTGGGTTAAGGACGGTTCTCTCTTTTAGGAAATTCAGAAGGTTCTTTGACCACCTCAGAGCAGCCCCCTCCCAAAGCAATTTGGGGGGAATGTGGAGCTCTTGGAAAGGGGCGACTGCTTTGGGTTTCTGAGTCACATTGAGAGGCTTCCAGCTGCTGTAAGATGTGTCTGTTCACCAGAGATGTCCTATCGCTCCCTCTCCATGTCACCAAGGGAGGAAGCTGCCCTGAAGTGTGGTGGTTTATGCTGTAGCATGCACAGTACAGATCAGGGCATGTGGGGATCTAGGGAATCGAGCTTTCTTTGGGATCTGGCAGGCTGGAGAACCTATTTGTCCCCCCCTAGGCTTTATTCACCCACAGAGTTCTTGCACCAGCTCATCCTCATAGAGGGGAAACTACACAGGATACAAGGCACAGAGACACACCCTGCTGCTTAATTATGGCTGCCCTCCATCCATGACCTCTCTCTTGCTGTTGCAGGGCAGTGTCCCCTGCTGGGGTGAATGTGCTGCACGCCCTGAGCCGCTACAGCCGCTACCTGAGCATCCTGGACGCCGACAGCAAGACCCTGCGCTGCCCCCTCTACAAGGGCACCGTGGTGGCCCGGCTGGCCGACCACCGCACGCAGATCAAGCGTGGCAGCACCTACTACATGCACGTCCAAAGCATCCTCACCCAGCTGTGCTCTAAAGCCTTCCTCTTCACCTTCTGCCATCATTTGCACCTTCCCATCAGCGAAAGGGAACCGGAGGAATCCGTTGTGAATCGCAGGATGAACTTCCTAAAGCTTCAGCTGGGCCTTGCCAACGAAGATATCAAAATCGTGCAGTACTTGGCCGAGCTGCTGAAGCTGCACTACATTCAGGAACCGGGGCAGGGGGGGAACCCCCTGCTCAGATTTGACTATGTTCCCAGCTTTTTGTACAAAATCTAGCCTTGCACAGGCCGTGTGCCCGCGTGCTCGGAGTCTGACAGAGCCCATCCGTGCTTGACATTGCCGCTGCCTGCAGTAGCTCTCACACGTCGGGAAGGGGCCGAGGTGTCGGCGTCTCTGCTCCGCAGGAATCCGGGTCTGCGAGGGCGGATTTCTGGTGATCCCTGTAGCCAAAAGCGTAAACATCACATAAACCATCGGGCACTCTGTAAATGTTAGAAGGGGCACTGTTAAAGTGGATCACAGCAGCGTCCCAGGGGGGTTATGGCATGAGGGGAGGTTGGGCTATCTCGGGGATCAATACTGACGAGTGTACAGCCCCCCATAGAGCACAGTGTCCTGCACTCTTCTGCCTGAGCACTGTCAGTCCCTTGCACGGGGCCAGGGCTGTGACCAGAGGTGTAAAGGCCATGTGAAGTTTTGTATCCACTGATGTGTCTGTCATGTGAGTGTAGCTCAGAGCCCCCAGGCAGGGCAGCAGCTCATGGGTTTGTGCACAGCCAGTGGAGGATGTCCCTCATCTTCCTGAGTTTCTGAGCACTTCCCAGGATAGGTTGTCCCTGGGTGAGTGGGAGCACAGCAGAGGCACAGATGCTTCTCTCCAGAAGGGGTTTCCCGTTTCTCCAGCTTGGTTAGAATCAGGAAGGTGGAAGCACTCCCTAGTGCTGGCGAGCCCCGAGGGCTGGCCGCTGTGAATGTAGAGCACTGTGCCTTGTTCATTTGTCACGCCCCATTTGGGCCGCCTTCGAGCAGCCTGGAGGGAGACTGGGAATCCTCAAAGCGTTTGAGGGCAGGGGTGGCATTTTAAAGACAGAGGGGAACTGAAAGAGGGTGAGGGCCCTCTTTTTAGGTGCTTTTCGTGATGGGGAAACGATGTGATTCAGCTGGAGCCACGCTGTGAGACAGCAGGCTGTTAACCACAGGCTGCCTGGCTGGTGAGGTACAAGTGCTCAGGAGAGTTTGGGGATGAATGTACTGGATTCTATGTTCTATCTATAATAGTTTATTTATTTATATTTTTTTTTGCTGGGAACATTTGTGCTTTGTGGTAAAACAGGGCTGGCATTGCTGCGTGCTGCTCCTGGCTGAGCCATGGTCACTTCCTGACTACCTCTCCTGGGGCTCCTAGGTGGCTCTGGGTAGGGCAGAACTGCTGCTCTCTGAGCCTGAGTACTGAGAGCTTTTCCTTTCAAAGCTTCTGTGCCATAAAGGATGTACCACCAACATGGTGACACTCCCTGATCGTTCCTGTCAGTGCTGAAAGTTTTGTGTCCAGGCACAGCGCTTCCCTCTGGAGTCTTGTAGGTGATTCTGGGCCCAGGCTGCTCTGCCTGGTGCCATGTGGCAGTAGCAGCTCCCAAGGTACTTCTAAGTAAGAAAAGTCTTGCTAGGAAAGATAATCTTGGTTTTAATTCTTTTTAATGCTGATTATGGGGTGAGAACAGCTGAGATCATACAAGAGCTGATCTGTTCTTTGGTTTGTTGGGTTTTTTTAAACTTCTTTTTATGGTAATAATGTGAGGCAGCTTTGGAGATGAATGTGATCTTCCTTCTGAGCCCAGGAAGTTTCTGTGTACAGCCTGGGGTTCCCCAGCGAGGCTTAGACCCCACTGAAACTTGCTGTGAGACCTGCACTCCTCCAAAACCATGTCCTAGAGGCAGGGAGGCTCCTTGGGGAGGCTGTCATTTTGCACCAGCATCTGTGCCTCAGGATCATGCCACCTCCTCCTCTGCTCTGGAGAGGGCTCTCTGGGGTATAAACCAACAGGGCAGAAAGGCTGTTTTTAAGGCTATTGCTGTTTGTGGTGGCTCAGCCAAGTTGGCCTCCTGGTTCCCTCCAGAGGGATTTCCTGGGTCAAGGGTTGCCTGTGATGGTGATTTGAGGTTGTGGTTGGAAGCAGTGCAGCGTGGCCTTTGCTGAAGGTGAGCAGTGTCTCTGAGGGGCTGCTCACCTTTACAGCATGCTAAAAGCCTTTTCCTGTCCTACCTGTGCCCTCCTGTCTCATGTGAACTGAGTCTGCTGGTGAAAGGCCTCCGTGTCCATCAGATTGGCTTTCTGAAGTGATTCAAGGTGCCCCCTGATTGATTCATGCACACCCAAACTTCCGCACTGAAGCTGAGGTGAGATTCCCTGGGGGAAGAGGCATCTTGGTAGATGAGTAATGCAGGTGACACCAGACAGATGAAAGCTCCCAGCATCCTGCTCTGGAGCTCAAAGCAGGAGCTTGTTTCCTGCTGAGAAGCAGCCTAGTGCTGTTTGGGTTTGAGAAGGGAGGGAGGGAGGGACAGACTTTTTTCCTGCTGACTCACTCACGTCTTCCTCCAGCACGGAGTGGCACAGATGATTAATGGTGGCTCATCTTAGTCACAGTGGTCCTGACCTGTGGTGTTCAGCTGTGCTCATAAATTGATAAATAACTCACTTCTTACTCCCTCTGTCCAGCCTGGTAGTATCTGATTTTCAAGGCCGTGTTGAGCAATACTTGCACTACCACCTGTATGACCTGCTTCACCTCTCTGCCACAAAGCAGCTCTGACTGGGGAGCTTGGCTGGAACATTACCCAATTCCCAACGGGAGCTCTGGGATTATCTGCAGCTGGGAGCAGTGGAGAAACACACCCTGGAGTGCTTGTCCCCCTCTCAGCAGTGTAACCTCTGAACTTGGACTGCAAAGGAGGCGTTAACACTGGTCTGTGCATTTGGAGCCCTCTGTGCTTGTGGTGGCAGAAACTGGGGGGATTCCGAGCACAGCTGGTGTTTGGGAGCTGAATTCCTCTTTCCTCTGTATTATCTCTGTCTCTGTTGTTCTGCTCCTGTACAGTACAGATCCCTGTATTGGCACTTTAGGACTTTCCCCTGTCTCCAGTTTCTGATACTCACAGACTAGCAACAAGCCACAACCTTTGCACTGGTATCTCCTGCCATGAGTTCTGGCACGTGTGTTGTCCTGCCTGGGCCATCCTTCCACGAGGAGCAGGGCAGGTTCCTGGCAGTGGCAGTGCCATCCTCACCAGCCTTTCAGCTGCCAGAGCCAGTGGTGCCCTGCATGGCCATCCCCTGCTTCCGTGAGTGCTGCCAGCCCAGCATGTCCCCGCTCCCGCACGGCCGCGCTGGCTCCCTCCTTGCTGCCAGCAAGAGGAGGTGTTCGACCTGACCGAGAATTCCCCAGAGCAGGAGCCTCTCCTGGCCAGGACAGAGGGCTCCTGTTTGCCACTCCTGCTCTTCCCAGCTGCCAGCCCCTGCTCTGCTCTCCACTAACCTGCTGCTTCCAGCTCCCACCCCAGGAGGCTCAGCCATAGCTGTAGGTGATCTTAACCCTACAAAGGTTTCATTTCTCAGAGAACAGTGCTCAGATTTCCTTTCATCTGATAGCAATCACTTCTGAGCAGCTCCACAGCTGCCTTGCCTCGGCAGGCAGGAGCTGCTTATACTCTAGCAATATTCACCGTGGTGGGAGAGGCACTCCAGGGGTGGGAGCTGATGGCTGGGTGCCTCCAGACCAGTTCTTCGGGTTTTATTGAGCGTGAGGCTCCTGAGCCCCCTGGTCTGGGGGTGGGGGCCAGCCCACGCTGCAGATTCCGGGAGCTGGGCAGGACCCGGGGCTTGTAGCAGCACAGTGAGAAGGCTCCTGTAACAGCATCTGAGGGAATCCAGGGAGCTGCCCAGGCTGCAGGAGAACACCTGCCTCAGAGCACAATGTCAGAGCACCAAACTGCACCCCGATGTTGGAGGGGTCACAAACCCCCCACCCCACTGCTCCCCGAATCAGAGTTAACTGGAAGGCAGAAGCAGGGTACCCGGTCCTGCCGCTGGCACAGCCGCTGGCACGGGGATGGGGCTGGGCTCGGAGCTGCCTCTGAGGGCTGCCAGGAGGCTGTGATGAATTCTCATTTTAAAAGCACTGTATCCTATTCCTGCATGTTGAGTTCCGTGTGTGTGCCTGTGCGTGCTGAATGCTTGCGTCAGTAGTTAGGGCGAGTGTGACCGGGAGAAATCCAAGAAGCATGTCTTAGTGTCGTGCTGTAAGTGTTACTGCACAAGAGTTTAACAGATGTTAACACCAAATGACTAGTCTGAGAAATGTAATTTTAAAAAAAAAAATATTTATTTGGGTTCAGATATTTTTGAAATACAAAAAAAAAAAAAAAAAATTGGTCGTATTTTTTAAAGCCTATAATTCTTGGTGGTTAAATTCTTAATTTTACCGTGCTTATTAAAAAATGGTCCAACCTAAGCTTTGTGCCAAGGGGTTTGAGAAAATATTGTAGGATCTGGTTAGGATGAGATGGTGATCCCAGGAGGGATGTTCAGGACAAGGCTTTGCCTTGTCATAGCCTGTGGAGGTGGCAAGGCACATTGGATGAAGAGAAATCTTTGAGGCTGAAACCAGGGGCACTTCTCGGGGCTGTGAGGTTTCTTGTGCAGCTGGAGCCCCGTCCCTCACACTGCCATGGGCAGGGTGTCCAGGGAATGTGGACAGACCAGCCGAAATCTCATCTGCTGCTCCACAGCCAGCAGGAGCCGGATGGCACCGGGCCATGAGGTGAGGGTGACACAGTGCTGAAGGGCTGGTGTCCCCACAGGGCTTGTACTCGTGGGGTCCCTGTGCCCCACGTGGGAGGGAAAAGGGGAGTAAGAGCCAAAGGAGGAGCTGCTGCTGCAGTTCCACAGGGAAGTGCTGGGAGAAGGCACTGGGGTGTTGGTCTCAGGCTGGGGATTGTGAGCGTGCCCCGGGTACTCCCATGGCTTCAGGAGCGGGCACGGATGTGTCCCCTTACAGGACAGGCAGCCCCGGGAGTGGGAACGTGGCTGCAAAGGCTTCTACCTCTTCCTTCAGTGCCTTCAGCTCCCCACGGTATTTTGGGTCCTCCAATTTGTCCTTGAATTCCTTCAGCGTGGCCTTGGGGCTCATTTCCTTCTGCACACGCAGAGCCAGCTCAATCCCTGCCGGGATGGGAGATGTCTTGGTCAGCCCCTGCAGCTGCTGCATCCCAGGGCTCTCCCAGCCCTGCAGCCCCTGGGACACAGCCCTGCTCCCTCCCTCCTTCCCCTCTGAGGGACTTGCTGCCCTGGGAAAACAAGTTAAAATTCCTGAGGACAACTGGGAGAAAACTGCGAGAGACACAGGCTTTCAGCCCACTGCCTGTGCAGAGGGGAGAGTTTGGCTGGTCCCAGCTGTGGCCAGATGTTCTCCCCCATGTCCAGATGTGGAGGTAGGATGGCTACTCCTCATTTGTGGGTGTGTTCCCTTGCCAGCTGTGGGGATGGCTCCAGTGGGGCTCAGCTGATGCCTCCTCAGCCAGGGGAGCTGCCCTGGAGCACACAGCCCCACAGCCCTGGCTCACCTCTGTGGATGTACTGGGCCACCTTTCGGAAGTCGTCCTGCCGGAAGCCGCGCGAGGTGAGAGCCGGCGTCCCGAACCGGAGGCCGCTGGGGCGCAGGGCACTGACATCACCTGCACCACAACGAGGCACATGTCACCAAACCTGGCACTGAAACCAGCACCTGAGGGATTTCAGCCTGGCTCCTGGAGCTGGCAGAGCTTGTGGGATCCCTCACCAGGACACGTGTTCTTGTTGCAGGCGATGGAGCAGAGCTCCAGCACCCGCTCGGCCCGGCCGCCGTCCGTGCCTTTGCTGCGCAGATCCACCAGGATCAGGTGGTTGTCAGAGCCCCCTGCAAAGAGAGGGGTTTGGTGGGCACGTGGGCTTGGGGAAATGCTGCTCCTGCAGGAAACTTCAGCAGAAGACTTGAGATTTAACAAGGGATGAGGAATTGTGCCAACAGAGCCCTGCCCATGGTGTCCATGAAGCGCTGCCCTGGTCAGACCCCAGGCTCAGCCCCATCCCATTGGCAAGATGTGTCCTCACCTGTGACGATGTCGTAGCCCATCTCCATCAGTGCTGATGAGAGTGCCTTGCAGTTGGCCACCACCTGCTGCTGGTAAGCCTTGAACTCGGGTGTCATGGCCTGGTGCAGCGCCACAGCGATCCCTGCGGAGACAGGTAGGCCAGGGTCAATTTTGGGGGGCTCCCACCAGCAGTGACACTGCCAGCAGAAGCCACACTGGAGCTGAACAAATGAATGGACTGATCCTTCCTTTCCCCTAACCAGGTTGGTGGCATCACCATGACCCAAAACACAGGATAGGACAGTCACTCCTTGGGCAATGCTGGATCAACCAGCTGCCTTTTTTTTGCCACGGTGTCCCCAAGCTGTGAGCCCTGTAGGGCAGCTGGAGGATCCCGTGCTGCTGCTGGGGACCAGAGCCCTGCCAGGACACCTTTACCAGCTTCCTGTGTCATGCTGGAGCTGGCAGCCAGCCTGGCTGCATACCTGCAATGGCGTGGTTGTGTGGGCCTCCCTGCAGCCCCGGGAACACCGCCTGGTTGATGAGGCTCTCCAGGTTGTAGAGGGTCTCCTTGCCTGTCTTGGGGTCCACGCTGCGGGTTCCTGCGAGACAGGGAGGACACGGTCACAAGACAGCTTCTCCCACGAGCTGCTTTCACCCCCTGGCTGCTCAGAGCAGGCACAGTGCTTGCTCCTCTTCAAATCTGAGCCAGAGTTAGCCCAGGGAAGCTCCCCAAATGCTCCCAGGAATTTTCTGCCCTGCCTCCTTCCCAGCTGGAGCAGGAAGGAGCGTTAACTTGCAGCGTTTCTCCCATCACCTTTGCGGTAGAAGATCATGCCGGCCCTGCAGCCCCGCAGGGTCTTGTGGGTGGTGGTGGAGACGATGTCGCAGTGTTCGAAGGGCGAGGGCACCACGCCGGCGGCCACCAGCCCGCTGATGTGGGCCATGTCGGCCATGAGATACGCCCCGTTGTCATCGGCGATCTTCCGCATGCGGGCGTAGTCCAGGTTCCGCGAGTAGCAGCTGACGCCTGCGGGGACAGGCGATGAGGAGGGGACAGAAGCAGATGTGCAGGACTCTGGGACAGCCCCAGGACCAGGCTTGCAGTGCGGACAGCCCAGCTGGGGACAGTGCACAAGCTCCTTGCAGGCTGTTGGGGGTTTCCTCCTGGCACTGCAGCATCCATGGGCTTTGGGGAGCCACCCCCACCCAGGTTCTGCCACCAGGGAGGTTGGTACAGGTGTGATCCTTTACCTGCTACGATCAGCTTGGGGTGGAAGAGCCGGGCGTTCTCCTCCAGCCGGTCATAGTCGATGTAACCAGTCTTGGGGTTGACCTAGAAGAGGAAGAGGAGGGTTCAGCCACCTCTCTGTGGTGAAGATCAGCTGCAGTGCTGTCCTGCAGGAGGGGTGCTGGCAGCCTGATGCTGGTACTTTTAACTTTAATAGGCACCAACACTTATGATAACTGCGCCCTGGCTCTGGCTGGAGCAGCTCTCTGTACCTTGTAGGGCATGGACTCGAAGAAGACAGAGGTGGCAGAGATCTTCTTCTTGTCCGTCATGAACCCGTGGGTGAGGTGGCCACCATCGGGCAGGTCCAGCCCCATGATCCTGCCGTGGGGCTCCACCAGGGCCGTGTACACCGCAAAGTTTGCGGGTGACCCTGCAGCGAGAGCGCACTGGGCTGGTTATGAATGCTGGGGCACACAGAGGCCTGGGCAACTGTCCTGGCTCTCCTGAGCACCCCAATACCTGAGTAGGGCTGGACATTGACTCCCCACTTCTGGGGGTCGAGCCGGTAGGCCTGCAGGGCTCGCTTCTGGCACAGCCTTTCCAGCTCGTCCACAAACTCCGTCCCGCCGTAGTACCTGCAGTAAAGGACAGGGCAGGGCGTAAAACCAAACTCAGAACAGTCCCTGTGACCAAGCTGGGGAGAAACTGGAGTGGTGCCCCATTTGTGCAGCCACAGCAGATGTGGCCCTGCTGAGACTGTCCCATGTGTGGCCAAGGACAGAGGATGAGAAGGTCAGAGCCTGTCCTGGAAGAGCTTGGCTGCCAGCATAAGGACATTGCTTCCTTCCCTGAGGTGAGGCCTGGCAGGATGGGCGGTTCCTCTCCCACCCTGCAAAGGTTTGGGTCGGTGGGCCTTGGCCCAGCCCCATACCTCTGTCCTGGGTAACCCTCAGAGTATTTGTTGTTCATGCAGGATCCCAGGGCCTCCAGGACCGCTCGGCTCGCAAAGTTCTCCGATGCAATTAACTCCAGCCCCAGCCTCTGCCGCTGCTTCTCCTTCTTGATGATGCTGTGCACCTTTGGGAGAGGAGAGAAATGGCTTCACCCATGCTGGCTCTGCACGGAGGTGTGGATGCTCCACCACAGGGTCAGGGCTTGGAAAGGTGCTGGAGAAGGGAGATGCGATCTCTTCTTGGTGCAGCTGTTCCCAACCAGTCACAGAGAGGGCACAGAGGATGGATGGGTTCCAGCAGCTTGGGCTCTGCCATGTCCCTGGCTCCACGAGGTCAGCATCCCCACGGCTGGCTGGGGGTGAATGAGGCAGCTGGGCAGGAGCCTGGAAGGGGCTCTCACCTCCGGGTCGTTGGTGTCCAGTGGCTCCATCACCATCTTGCTATGGGAGGCCCAGAGCTCGGCGCTGGGGAGGCCCTGTGTTGAGCTCGCCATGGTGCTGCTGCTGGGTCTGAATCACCTGCCAGGGGAGAGGGGAGTCTGTGGGATGGCAGCAGGGCTGGGTGCCTCCTCATCTCCCTGTGTGCTGCCTGCTGCCATCCCACGTATTCCCTGAGGACAGCCATGGCTGGGTGAGGAAAACACACACAACCCTCAGGCTTCCCCTGCTGATTTAAGATCAGTTTGTTAATTACAGTGCTTTGATAATGTCTGATACTCTCCCATCACCACCCCTCCCTGAGCTCCCCTGCCCAGCTCAGCAGTGCCTGATCTTTATTTTCAAGGGCAGTGAAGTGCTCAAACCCACAGATCTCAATTTTAACACGCACTGCGATACCCAGCACGCTTAAACCTCTTGCCTGCTTTCCCTTGGGCAAAACCCCAGCAGGTCAGAGTCCTGCCCCAAACCCTGACTGAAGCATCTTGTGGAGCTGAGAGGCCCTGAGAGGCAGCAGCTCTGCCTCTGCTTGGTTCCATGGCCCAGTTGATGCCACTGCTGCTCTTGGGGAAGGAATAACAGCCCAGCTGCTGCCTTGGCAGAAAACAATGAATCTTTTTACTCATTAACCCTGCAAGGACGGGTGAAGGGCCGTGAGCAGGTTATTAAGCAATCCCACATGGTTTCCTTGTGCCAAGCTGCCGAAGTCCATTCACGCCGCCCTTTCTGGGCAGGGATGCTCAGCCATGCTCTGGCCCAAGCCCAGGCCTCAGTGGCAGGGTGGGAATCCTCACTGCGAGAGGCTGGGCTGGGCAAATGGCTGCGAGGGAAGTGCTCTGGCTCTGAGCAGGATGTCCTGCATGTCCCCCCAGCACAGGCTGCTGCAGCACTCACACTCACTGCTTCTGGCTCAGGGGGGACACAGCTGCCATTCCCAGCCAGGATGAGTTCCCCCACCATGTCCCCTCTGATGGTGGACACCTGGCACCTCACCTGGGGAACCCCATCCCCGAAGCTCTGTCTCCAGCTAGTTCTGCACGCCCCGTATCCCGACTCCATCACCTCCCACATCCCGAGAGCCTGGTGACGCGCCTCTCTGCCCTGCTCCGGGTGGCGGGGACCGGCGCTGCCTGGCCGCTGTCACCGGCCGTGGGATACCGTGCCGTGCCCCAGCCCTGCTCTCCCCACACCGCACGCCCCGATCCGGGCCCCGATCCT